AAAAAAAAAAAAAAAGAGTTCGAGACCAACGTAAGCAAGAGCGACACAGCTCTACTGAAAAAAAAAAAATAGGTAAAATAGCTGGGCATTGTGATGGATGCCTATAGTCCCAGCTACTCAGGAGGCTGAGGCAAGAGGATCGCTTGAGTCCAGGAGTGTGAAGTTGTTGTGAGCTATGAAGCCATGGCACTCTATCCTTGGGCAACAGAGTAAAACTGTCAAACACACACACACACACATACAAACATTTAATTTACCAAAAAAAAAAAAAAAAATAATAATAATATTTAGTTCCTGAGCCATATAAACCACATTTTAGGACCTCAACAGCTGCATGGGGCTGCTGGCTACTAGAGAAGATAAGACAGACATAGGATGTTTCCATCACTATAAAATGTTGTTTGAACAGTATTGGTTTAGGAATACCTTTCCCGATCACGCTACCTAAATCGCTACTCTGGCCCCTCAATCCAGTGTCTTCTTTTCCGTGGTATATATCATAGCCTGAGACTCTCCTATAGAATCTTCTTCATTGATTCTAAGATGTATGTTTTTTTCTCTTCTGTATTTTTTTGTTTATTTGGTTTTTAGAGACAGAGTCTCCATTGCCCTTGGTAGAGTGCTATGGCGTCACAGCTCACAGCACTTAGGTGGTCACAGCTCACAGCACTTAGCTCACTTGGGCTTAGGTGATTCTCTTGTCTCAGCCTCCTGAGTAGCTGGGACTACAGGGACCCGCTACAATACCCAGCTATTTTTTTGTTGCAGTTTGGCTGGGGCTGGGTTTGAACCCGCCACCCTCGGTATATGGGGCTGGCGCCCTACTCACTGAGCCACAGGCACCACCCTCTCTTCTGTATTTTAATCATCCCATTGACATGCATCTTATCATCAATAGTGTGTCAGATTAATTTAGCAATTTATGTAAAATACTAGTATGTCTCCCATTCATTGGTCTCTTAGGAGTCCCTAAAACACAGCATGGCAATTTTTTTTTTTTTGAAACAAGAGTCTCACTTTGTTACCCTTGTGCTATGGTATCATAGCTCACAGCAACCTCAAACTCTTGGGCTTAAGCAATTGTCTTGCCTCATTCTCCCAAGTACCCAAGTAGCTGGGACTACAGGTGTCTACCACAACACCTGGGTATTTTGAGAGACAGGGTCTTACTCTTGCTTAGGCTGATCTCAAACTTGTAAGCTCTTGGCCCTCCAGAGGGCTGGGATAACAGGTGTGCACCTGGCCTAAAACATAGTATGATCTGTTTGCTTCATCAGTGGCACTGAGGGGAAGGGCTTTGTTTTGCCCATAGTTGTATCCACAGGGTCTTGACAAAGTGGTCCTTAACTACCAAGTATGGAACATAAATGTCTTTTCTTTTTTGAGACAGAGCCTCAAGCTATCCCCCTGGGTAGAGTGCCGTGGCATCACGCTCACAGCAACCTCCAACTCCTGGGCTCAAGCGAGTCTCCTGCCTCAGCCTCCCAAGTAGCTGGGACCACAGGCGCCCCAGCCATCATTGTTGTTTGGTGGGCCCGGGCTGGGGATTTGAACCCGCCACCTTGGGTGTACGTGGCTGGCGCCTTAGCTGCTTGAGCCACAGGCGCCGAGATGGAACATAAATGTCTTTTCTTTTTTGAGACAGAGCCTCAAGCTATCCCCCTGGGTAGAGTGCCATGGCATCACAGCTCACAGCAACCTCCAACTCCTGGGCTCAAGCGAGTCTCCTGCCTCAGCCTCCCAAGTAGCTGGGACCACAGGCACCCGCCACAGTGCCCGGCCATTTTTTGGTTGCAGCCATCATTGTTGTTTGGTGGGCCCGGGCTGGGGATTTGAACCCGCCACCTTGGGTGTACGTGGCTGGCGCCTTAGCTGCTTGAGCCACAGGCGCCGAGCCTGAACATAAATGTCTTAACACAGTAATTAATGAGGTGAAAGCTATATTAATTAGTTTTATGTAACCATTTCAAATTGTATTAAAAAAATCAACACATTGTACCCACAAAAGCATAAATATATTCATGATCTACTCATATGTGACTTAATAAAAGGAAAAAAAAACCCAAAGTGGTCCTCGGAAGGAGCTTAGTAAACATTTGCAGAATGAATCAATCAGGGCTTGCTAAGCTCTACTGATAGGTTGCAGCTTCTGGGTCAGGGTCCTCAGCATACCCTAGGTGGCCTGGCAACCCCAGATCACACTCCTAGGCAGGAAGGAATTAATTAAAGGGGGATGTGTCTCTGATCCCCCACACAGAGGGGCATTCCAGGCTTCTAGAGGCCTGGTTACTAGAGAGTGACCCATCCTTAGTGAGTGGCTCCTATAAGTTCTAGGCTGCTTAGTAGGGGAACCCAGGCCTAGCCAAGTCTGGTTTGCTATTAGTGGACACCAGCTGGTCTGTAGAACTTAGAGAACCCATTCTTCCATGAAGAGCTCAACTTTAGCAACAGGGAGGTGCAGGGCCTTCTGGTCAACCGGGGAAGATGGGCTCAGGCCGCTTGGGCTTAACTAAGCCCTACTGGGGTCAGCAGACTCTTCTTAGCATTCAGGCCCCAGAAAGGTCACAGACTCAGGGTTGAGGACTCCCTCTCCCCCTTACCATGCATTAGGAAGAAGGTCTTGGGGTTAAACCTGTTGGGGTCCAATCCATCTAGTTCCTCCCATACCTCCTTCAACTGGGCTTGGCTGCCCTGTGGAAAGGAGAGTCCAGAACTTATGAGCAAGAAGTCTGGATGCCACATTATAAAGCCAGAGAACCCTTTACCCCCCAACCAACAAATATCACCCCCAAAGGAAACTAAGAAAACTACAAATCCCAGAGGTCCCTGAGGTACTGTGGTATAATAACAGGGACATAGGGAGTTTTTGCCCCAGGGGCTCTTGGGAGTTGAAGTTCTTTTTTTGGAGACAGTCTTACTTTGTTGCCCTCAGTAGAGTACCGTAGCATGGCATTATAGCTTACAGCAACCTCAAATTCTTGGGCTCAAATGATTCTCTAGTCTCAGCCTCCCAAGTAGCCGGGACTATAGGCACCCGCTACAACACCTGGTTAGTTTTAGAGACAGGGTCTTGATCTTGCTCAGGCTGGTCTTGAACCCATGAGCTCAGGCAATCCACCTGCCTTGGCCTACCAGAGTGCTGGGCATGAGCCACTGTGCCCTCTTCAACCACTTTCTTATGGTGCTAGACATACACGGTAGGGAGTGGGTGGGCACAAATGGGGGTCCTTACAGGCACATTGACTTTGGGGTGCTCTCGGTGCCGGCGCTGTTGTTCTTCAAGCTTCCTCTCTGCCTCCTTTCGCTGCTCTTCTCCCAGTGACTCCAGGTAACGGCGTCTCTCATGCTCCTTAAGCATCTCATAGCGTTTGAACTCTTCGTGATGGGCTGCATCATACTGGGCAAGGTCACGGGTGGCCTAGGGAAACGTAGGTGATCTCTCAGCTCCTGCTCCTATGTTCAGCCCCTAATTTTAATATCTTTTTTTTTTGAGACAGAGTCTCACTATGTCGCCCTCAGCATAGTGCCGTGACATCACAGCTCACAGCAACCTCAAACTCTTGGGCTCAAGCCATTCTCTTACCTCAGCCTCCCAAGTAGCTGGGACTACAGGTGCCTGCTATAACATCTCGCTGTTTTTTTGTTATAGTTATCATTGTTGTTTGGCAGGTCTGGGCTGGGTTCAAACCCACCAACCTGGGTGTATGTGGCCGGGGCCCTAGCTGTTGAACTACAGGCACTGAGCCTAATTTTAATATCTAAATGGCAGGCCTTTGGCCCTGCACTTGGCCAGGGGAATCCTCAGCCTCTCCCTGTCCTAAGTCTCATGTCCTGGTCTCACTTTCTTGGTCCCTGAGACAGGTCTTGCCCCTTAACACACCTTCTTCTCTTTGTTCAAAAGGGCTTATAAAGGTTACACAACAGCAGCTTTAACCCACCTCTTCCAAGTCCTCCACAATCCCAAGATCTTGGAGGAATAAGTAAATAAGGAACCACACATGAAATGAACTTAACATGGAAAGCAATACACCTACATGGTCAAGAACATGAGGTTTGGCTCGGCACCTATAGCTCAACCAGCTAAGGCGCCAGCCACGTACACCTAAGGTGGTGGGTTCGAATCCCCAGCCCGGACCCACCAAACAACGATGATGGCTGCAACCAAAAAATGGCCAGGCGTTGTGGCGGGCACCTGTGGTCCCAGCTACTTGGGAGGCGGAGCTTGAGCCCAGGAGTTGGAGGTTGCTGTGAGCTGTAATGCTACGGCACTCTACCCAGGGGCACAGCTTGAGGCTCTGTCTCAAAAAAAAAAAAAAAAAAAAGAACATGAGGTTTCTAAATACACTGTCCAGGTTTCAAACTCAGGCTCTGCCATGTGCTCAGATCTCATTAGCTGTGCGATCCTGGCCAAGTTACCCAGCCTCTCTGTGTCTCCATTTCTACTTCCATAAAATGGAGCTAACAAAACAGTACTAGAGGCTCAGCACCCAAGGCATAGTGTTTATAGTGTCAGCCACATACACCAAGGCTGGCGGGTTGAACCCTGCCCGGCCAGCTAAACAACAATGGCAACTACAACAAAAAAATAGCTGGCAGATGCCTATAGTCCCAGCTACTTGGGAGGCTGAGGCAAGAGAATTGCTCAAGTCCAAGAGTTTGAGGTTGCTGTGAGCTATGACACCATAGCACTATACCAAGGATGGCATAGTGAGACTGTCTCAAAAAAAAAAAACTAGATTGAATATTGCCCTTCCTCCAAAAATTCACATCCATCCAGAATCTTGGAAAGTGATCTTATTTGGAAATAGGAAATAGGGTATCTGCAGATATAATTAGGTTTTTCGGGGGTTTTGAGAAAGAGTCTCACTTTGCCACTCTTAGTAGAGTGTTGTAGTATCATAACTCACAGTAACCTTCAACTCTTGGGCTCAAGTACTCCTCGTCTTAGCCTCCCAAGTGGCTGGACTATAGGCACTGACCATAATGCCCAGCTATTTTTTAGAGACAGGGTCTTGCTCTTGCTCAGGCTGGTCTCAAACCTCAGACATCTAGCAATTCACCCATCTCAGCCTCACAGACTGCTGGGTTTACAGGCATGAGCCACCATGCCTGGCCAGATATTATTAAGGTGATAGTCCTAGTGGATTAGAGTTGGGCTCGAAATTCTAGTGATGGCTTCTCTATAAGACAACTACTGAAAGACACAGAGGCACATGGGGAAAACACCATGTGATGACAGAGGCAGGGATTGCAGTGCTATGTCTACAGGCCAAGCTATACCAAGGTCTGTTGGCCATCATCAGAAGTCAGGAGAAAGTCAGGAACAGACAGACCTTCCCTACGAGCCTTCAGAAGAAAGTCACCCTGCTTACACTTTGATTTTGGACTTCGGCCTCCAGAATTATGAAATGATAAATTTCTGGTTGTTTTTTTATTTTGTGGGCTTTTTTTTTTTATAGCAACCGTTAATTTTTTTTTTTTTTTTTTTTTTT